CTGGACCGTTCAGATAATGCCGAACTTCATTTGGTAGGCCCCCTTCAAGTTGGAAGCGTGCATGCGCTCCGACACTCCCGCCCGACTCCGAGGATGCCCCGCTCACTTGGCATCCTCTTCTGCATTCTGTTCAAGGAGTTACGCGGCCGCGAGAATCTAAAGGAAGCGACGCATAGCTGTCGCGGCAAACACCCTGGAGACCGCGCGAGGTTTACTCAAAAGTGCGTGCCAGCGTGGCGGAATGGCCGCCTCTGATTAGCCAGCGGGCAAGAAGTGGATTTGCTGATTGGCAGACCTACTGCGATTGGTCGTGGCTACGAGATAAGGTGTGGTTCAGAGGTGGCAACAGGGCCTATGAATTGTATACTGTATTGGGCTCAAATTGAACTCTTCCATTGAGGCCCTGTTTTGGAGAGGGTGACTTGGCGCGGGCTGTCTCGAGAGAAGGCGTTTCCTCCATTCTTCAGGTAAAACACGAAAGCTCCTCTTTGACGCCAAACAAGGGTGTCAGGTCGCGTCTGTTGGTAACACATTCTGCAGCAATGGCTTCCGTCTGCACTGCGTCCGTGTCCCAGGCCGCCGCCCTGTCTTTCGGGGCCACAAAGGCTGTGCAGAATGTGCAGTCTGGGAAGCGTGCATTCCTTGGACATAGGGTGTCGGGCCTGTCCGCCCCCAGGAAGCTTGCAGTGAGGAACTTCTGCGTCAGGGCAGCAGGCGCCGCTCCCAAGGTGAGGGACAATGTTTGAGAGACTCACCTAAATCAAGTTTATGCTTGAGTTGCAGTAAGAAGAAGGTCGGTAACCGAACACATGCGACTTCACTAAGGAAATGCTGATTCTGTTTCTCAAGCGGCCATGGAGTCCCATGTTGAAATGAGGACTGGCATTGACGATGATGAATACAAGCAGCAGAAGATCTTCTTACAACCTTGATTAAAGACATTGTCGACGCAACCTAGCGGTCACAAAGGAATGGCCTTGGCGTATGTGACCTCCACAAGAATCAGCCATTTCAGAAATCAATGCTCTACCGGCCGGGTTATTGCTTGGAGCATCAAGACTGATTGCAAGCGGGAATAGTTGCAGCTTCTATCTATCAGTTCCGTGTTTTGTATGAGGGTACTGGCTAAAATGTGTCCGCTAATGCTGACAGCTGTCTATGAGTATATGAAACGCAAAGGAGAGTCATGTCCAAGTCTTCAGAAGAGAAGTGCTGAGGAGCTCTCAATGGCAATGACGATGGCCGCAACTTTGGGCATGGGATCAGCCCTTGAGGTTTCCGCAGCTTTTTGCAGCTTTGTTAGACTGATATTAGTCAATTCAGAGCAGTCTGATGGTAGTCGGTTGCGCTCGGCGTGGCTCGGTAGGCACTTTGCTTCGACACATTCACTTGCAAGCAGCAGACAGTCAGCGGCATCTGGCCATCCTTTCAGGAGTATTGAGAGTGACGCTGGTTAAGTAAAGAGGCCAAGCTGCCTGAAGCAAAGTCAGTGCTGACCAAGGAACTTCGCCAGCTGTCTAAACGTGTATGAACACTCTAGGGTGTATTGGCAGTCCGCACAGACAGTTGGCAAATTCCCCGACAGTTTGTCTCCGTCGGCAATCTGGCTCCTGACAGCTCAAGCTGTAGGGATTTGATGCATCCATTGTGTGTGTTGCAGCAACCAAGTTGACCGTTTTGCTGAGCGTCGCCAGCCTGTGTATTTCATTTCCTCTCGCTTCAAAACATTCGGCTGAACTTATGCAGTTATTGCCTCTACCAATGAGACATCTGCGTCCCACACCTGACCAAACCCCTACTCTTCTGCAGCAACAAATCGTGACCCCCATCAACAACGACCCCTTCATTGGTTTCCTCGAGACCCCCGTCACCTCCACCCCCGCCGTCACCTGGTACCTCTCCAACCTCCCCGCATACCGCATCGGTGTCGATCCCCTGCTCCGGGGAGTTGAGATTGGTCTTGCGCACGGTTTCCTGCTCGCCGGGCCTTTCATCAAGACCGGTCCCCTTAGGAACACCGCCGTGGCCACCGAGGCTGGTTCCCTGGCCGCTGGCGGTCTTGTAGTGATCCTGTCCATTTGCTTGACGATCTACGGGCTCGCAACGTTCCAGGAGAGCACCCCCGAGGAGAAGAAGTTGACGCTAACGGGCAGGAAGCTGGAGTCTGACCCTCTGCAAACGTCAGAGGGGTGGAGCCGGTTCACGGGCGGGTTCTTCTTCGCCGGCCTTTTGGGCTCTGGCTGGGCTTACTGGCTGCTGACCAACTTTGGAGATGCTTACCCTGTATAAAGGAGTTAAGAGTGGGCGGCCTGTGTTGGCAGGAGGGGTTGCAAGCGCGTGGCATAAAGAGCTAGGCAGCTAGTACGAAACCAGGTCGTTATGTACAGCATCTTTCCCCCATGGGAGAGCTAACGGCACTGAATGATACACGCGGTTGTTGACCCGGGACTCAGTGCTGACAGCTGGTGGCCCAATTTTTATAGTTGACCGTGACTGTCCATTGATTCAGGCTGGTTTTCACACATGTTCATTGTCTGATTAGGGGCTCTGCAGTCCGCTGCCATCCGTTATTCTGCCCAGTGATTCATGTGTTGACGAATTGCACCGTGGAGTTCTACATGTTGGAAGGGCCTCGAGAGATTGATGGCTTGCATTCATTCGCACATGTCCGGTCTGGATGCTGCACATGCCAGTGCTTTCCGCTTCTGATGTGCCAGCAATGGAGAATACCTACACCTTTGCCATACTTGCAATGCTGATTTTTTTTGCATTCCACACAAGCAAATAAGTTGGGCACGCGTCTGCTTAATGATTAGTATGGCGCAACGGTGAGCGTGACTTGATTAGTATGGCGAACACGGTTGAATATCTCGTGATTTCAACGCGAGACCGGCAGGCTGCGCACTGTGTGGCGGCCATGAACTTATGCGTATGATGCTGCACGGCGGCAACCCCGCATCAGCAAGTGACCATCAGCGCCGTGATTGAGCCGCCCCTAGCGCGACTGGAAGCTGCACTTGCATTGAGTCGAATTGATATCATTACAATGCGTGTTACATATTTCGCCTATATGCATGATGGTCACCTCTTTTTATACACGCTTAGGCACCTGGGCCCATGCAATGATGGCGAAAAAAACAAGCAATTTCGGAGTTCGGGCTTCATCAAAAAATGGTTCCATACTAGTTACCGAGCAGTTACTAACAACTTAAAGCAACATGCATGACTAACATGACATGCTACCTCATCATGGCGTAACTACTGGGTATAAAAGTCACTTATCAATACCAAACGGAGGCAAACTTGAAAGGGTTTATCAAAAGTGTCTCTAATTAAATGCTAGGTTTTATGGTAAGCTAGTTTCCCTTCTTCTCCCCGCCCTTGTTGGCCTGCGGCAAGTTCTGGAGCACCTGCATAACCGGAGCAGGCACTGCGGACGCCAAGGCTTGCGCCGTGGCTGCACGTCCCCCATCTAGCGCCGCATGCCCCGTGGCGGCAGTAGCCGCCTGGACCGCCCGAGTTGCGGAGGTTCCAACCCCCGCCCTAAATGTGTTCGCCCCAGTGGCGAATCCGCTCCCCCCGCCTCCCGACTGCGCTGAGTTGAACCTCTCGACAACGAGTCCAAGACGCGCTAGCTTCTCCGCATAGTCTCCAAGAAAACGCTCCCCGGCGCAGAGGCTTCCCACGTCGGGGAAACACATGGCCCACGTTTTGAGCGGCAGACCAACGCGCGACATCGGCCGCCAGTGCTGCGTGAGCACTTCAAGGACGGCACTCGCAATGCCAGCCTCCATCATGACATCCTTGACGTCAAGCTGGAGATCAGGGAGGGGGCGGCCGACCGGGGATGATCATTGTGTAGGTTGCCATATGATAGGTGAGTTCCTTGTCTTTTGTAGTGAGTAATGCCGAACATTCAATTTAAGCAGTCAGGATATCCCTATGAGTCGGACATGACTTAATTTGATGCACTGAGCAGACGGCATAGCAAGCTGCAGTCATTCCATGTATCCTGGTCTCACCGTAGTATTGCCGGGCCGATGGCTCAGCGTGGCTCAGTCAGGGTTTATAAGTTACAAGCGACTACAATTGAGTGGGCGGCCAGCCTTCAAGCCAGCATGCATGTCCTCACTCATTCCCGACCGCTGGCGAATTCGAAATTAAGTGATTGCCAACTTGCTCGTCATGCCAGGTGACTGCAAGCAATAAATTCAAGGCCATCTCGCCGGCTGGCATGGCGCGGCCCACCGCCGGCCCGGCATTGAATAAATCGAGGCACTAGCTCCAAATGATCGGCTCCCCATTTTCGGTGACGTACAATTAATCTTGAAAGACGCGGGCTCGCACATGCACCGTCAGGCTAGCTGACCATTAATTGATGCATGCGTGCACACTACATCCTCATGCTCAATGATCGACTGGTATGTAGTCCACTAGGCCTGTCGTGGCCCCGAACGGACTTTAATTCAATTCAATTCAATATAGAGCTCCCAGATTGCAATCGAAGTATATTGGTTGATCTGCAGCGAGCTGTTAAGAATCAAACTATATTCGCTGACTGATCATTTGATCGGGTATGCCACGTACGTCAGACTGAGGTAAGTGACTTCCAAAGGAACTTCAGAATATCTACTGTATGTACGGCAACTTTCAAATCTTAAAGCAAGACCCTCCGGGACATGCATGGAGAGAGCGACGACTGCCAGCCATTGGTGAAGCGGCATAGGCCAGGCACGTGAAACTAACTGCATCACGAATTGATTCCCTTAAACACCATCTTACTCCATGAGGCGACCAGTAGAGACTGACAATGCGTCTGGACCCTAGTTGCTGAATGAATGTATCCAACTGACTTAACCTGACCGTCAGGTTCCTTTACAGTGAAGAGCCGATCAGACGCTCACCCTGATTTTGAGTGCCTAGAGGGCAGACTTCTACTCTATGATACTTCATGCTTCCTAGATTGCTCCCCCTGTTCTGCTTGAGAAACAACTGCCTTTGATTCCGTCTCCTCCGTTTCCTTCTTAGTCCAGTCGGAGACCCCTTCTAGAGGTTCTAATACATACACGCTCCCGTCGCTTGACCCTAAAGCGAACTGGTTGGACTTTGTCGGGTGGCCGGCTATGACTACCGGGTAAACCGGCCTGCAAAGAAAAAGGTGGCAGTCAGTCAGTATCTTCCTTTCACAGCGGTAATCAGTAGCTTGCGCAATCCGAAACGGAGCCGAAACTGCAAAAGACTCATGCGAGATGTAAGCGTATCCTTCTTCAGTCTGATCATTCCTTCTGTGGGCACTCTACTGCAAGCACGCAGCAAGGAAACGAGCAAAGAGCGCCTCCAAAAACTCTGAAGCAGGACTTTTCATCGCTGGAAGTGCAGAATAAGTCGGACAGAAACCGTCTCAACCTGCCTGTCTCCGTAACCAGACCCAGTTCACTCCCCTTCCTGAAATCAATGTCGAAGGTTCGGCTCTCCTGATCACCCCTACCTCATATCCATAACGTGGACCTTCCTGAATTGCCCCTACCTGACACTCTAAACCATGTGCTGTGTCTCGAATTCCTCACCTGAGGCTGTAGACGCTAAGGGCTATCCTGGTGACAGGTGTCAGGGTGCTGGCGTCAAACACGGCCACCGCGCCGTTGGTGAACCCGGCAAAGACGAAGGCGCTGTCGCACGAGTAGGCCGCTGCCGAGATGGGGTCCGAAAAGTGCTCCGCGTCCTTAGGGCTCCACTGCAAGAAGAAGTGGATTGCACGTTGGTCCAACATATGCGCAGAAGTTTGCAAAAGAGGTTCGACGTAGTCGAAACGAGAGAGGATAGCAAGACAGGGCGGCCTTGGGCCCGGCAGCTAAGGACTACAAGGAGATTCCAGCGGTGAGTACATCGGAAGTCTCAAGAACCACTTCTCGACCAACACTGCCCCGCATCTTGACCCTCTGAAGTTGTCAATGTAAATTTCACTCCAAAGCTCGCGGGAATTCAGGAAGCCGCTTGCTGGCCCTTAACTCTCCAAGGAAACGGCCCAGAGCACGCTTATCTGCTACACCCGAGGTGCACTATCGTTCCTTATATACCTTCGCGCGTGTTAGAACGATAATTTCACAGAAGCTGCTGAAACCATGTACACATGAGAAGCCTCCCCGGAACATCAAGAACCCCCAGGTCTGACAAATTGGCGCCATAGACCCTGAGTACAAACTCGTGCGTAACCAGCAAGCTCGACTAGGGCGTGATCCTGGAAACCCAGAATTGAACGCAAGAGCAACTGTGATACGCGTTAAAGTCTCACCCTCGTGAGTAGATCCAGCATGTCGACATCATAGATGCCGAGCATCGTTTCGTGCGTCACCAGGATGCGCGACTGGTCCTGGTGCGCTTGTACGCGCGTCTCGCCGCCAGTCGTGAGCGGCAACGTCTTGGACCGCCGCTTTGACCAGCTGGTTATGCTCCAAACGCACACCTGCAGAGATGGGTTAATAGAACGGGGTTAATGCAGGCAAAGGTATCTGGTATGGACACATTCGTTGTAAGAGAGCGGATTGATAGCAGTAACCTCATGGAGCGCCCCTTGGACCAGTTGGTTATGCTTCAAACGCACACCTGCAGAGGTGGATTAATTAAACAGGGTTACCTGCAGATTTGAGTATGCTGGACCAAAGCACGCTTTAATGAAGTGAGCAGATGGATTGGACTGTTGCTCCGTTTAGCTTCCTCTGCGCTTTTGATAGTTAAAACGTCAGGGCTTTCAATGGGATTCGTAAGTGAGAATCAGCTGATTGAGTGTTTGAGAAAAGAATAGGCGATCCAGTTTATCAGTAATGCATCTTGGACCGCCGTTTCGACTAACCCTGATGCTCCCCATGCAAACCTGAGACTGAAGAAGGAAGGTGAACTTCGTGGAAAAACTTTCTCAGTTTCAGTCCTGCATGTGCAACCTCTTCTTCCTCTGCTTAATCAGCAAAACCAACTGCCGCCGCTTTCCAAGAGGCCTGTGCTTTCTTAATTCCACTGCTCTTCCTGACCCATCATAAAAGCACAAAGCTCCGAGTGGTTCCGCTCAAAAAAACTGCCGTTCCGTCAGGATCCGTTCCAGACAAGCCCCAGACCGGTGCCTGTTCTCACCTCCGCATCCGCCCCTGCAGACACCAGCAGCTTCGCGCCCGACAGGAACGCGAGGCCCGTGATCGGCTTGGAGTGTCCGGACAGCTTCGTCTCGACCTCGTCGTTTCGGACGTTGTAAATCTGTACAGACGCGTCGTCCATTCCGATGGCGATGATGTTGTTGTTGTCCGGGTGGAAGGTCAGGACGGTGGCGGCGGGAGGGGGGGGCATGAACATGGTCATCACCTGGGGGGATGGGAGGGGATGCGGGGCAATTAGGGGGCAAAGCAAATGACGAAGCAAATGTCAGGCTCCGGAATGTGGTCTCATATCCACCACATATGCAGATGAGCTTAAGTAGGAAAAAGCTTTGAGTCAAATCTTGCTATGCCGAAATGTTGACCTTTTCGTAGCAGCCCACGCAGATGTCCCGTTTCGGCCGTGCAACCTTTGCTTATCTAACTTTTCTTCAGAATCCTGAAATTGTCAGAAAGAAAAGAGGTCTACTCTCTGACATGTCAAAAGCAATACGAAACGCATCCTATGTATAGCTTGCAGAAAGAGACAGGTTGTCAGGTCAGTAACGAACCAGAGGATTGCGAATAAATTCACCAAAGGATTGCGGATAAACTCGCGGAACTTTCTGTTCTGCTGTGAGAAACAACTATGACGCGATCACGGGCCCGCCAAATGGGAAGCCGAAATCTCATAGGTACACCCAAGATTTCCACATCTCTATAGCCTCAATCCAACTCCAAAGCGCTGCTCCCTTTCTTGCCCTTCTCACCTTGAACGTCAGCAGATTGTACAGGGACACCCGCCCCCCCGACGCCGACATGACGTAGCTGTCGTTCTTCGACAGCGCGATGCAGTGGCTCGTCGTCTCGAGGCGCGTCTCGGGGCTCGTGTCGTTCGTCATCATGTTGCCGTTTGAGGGCTGCCATAGGACCCACGCAGAAGAAGGGTCCAGTTTCCGGTCCAGGTTGCTACGAGTCCACTTCCACACTTTGTGGACCGCGGTTACGGTCAGGGCGAGGAGGGAGGTGCCCGCGTTGGTGTAGAGCAGGCGGGCGATCTGGGGGGGGGAGATATGTGGTTAGGACTTGGATAAGATCGTGGCCGGGTTGCTTCAAAGTACAGAATCAACGTGTGTGAATGGCTCTTAGAAAGGAAGATGATTGTAGCATGCAGTTCAAGGGAGAGATATTTACGCCGGTGCACTTGCGAAACGGCAATCAGGAACCAACCGTCAATACGACAAGATTAAGTTGCTGAACGAGCATCAAGTTGAGGACCTAGACTGAGAAACACTAGGATTCATACAGGACCCTCTGCCAGAAGCAGAACGAATCGCAGCCTGGATCACCAACAAACCCGCCCACTCACTTTGGCAGGGGGGAGCGTATCCGGGCAGCGCACGGAGCGCACTTCGGACGGCTCTGCAAATTCGAGCAGCTTTGGAGTGGGCGCGGTCGGAGGAACTAGGCTGGCGCTCCTTTTCTCCGCCATGATACTAGCCACGACTTCTTCCTCCCGGGACCGCGGGACGTTGCTGCTCGTGGGAGGGGGGGTCGGCTCGGAAGAGGGGGGGGCTGGACGGGGAAAAGCGAGAGCCTTCGTAAGCGCAAAGACCAACGGTGGATAGCTTGCGAGCATCCTTCATTTGTCAGCTTCCTATCTCAGGCACTTTGCATCGAAGCACGCCTTGGTTATTGTCACGAGCGAGGCGGCTGGTTGTTTCCGATGCTTCTCAAGGAGCCTCTATTGAAAATCAGACAAAGACATGAAGTTCAGATTCTCAGCATTTACTTTGATTTGCAACTCCGAGTGGCCTCTGCTACCTGACCTTATGAACCAAACGACGATTATCTGTAGGTCAACGAGACCATCAATAACCTCTAAAGCTGAATTGAAAAACAGCGCCAAATCCTAGCTGCAGCAAGAACTAACGACAAGCACCACTCAACACCAGATGCTCGATTTCATTTTCCTCCTCACCTGCTGCGGGGGTGCTCGGCTTGGACGACGTCACCGCTGATGTCATCGCCTCGCTCTTGGCTGCGCCCAGCTGCGGGGGGGTGCCCTTGCGCACGTCAAAGTCGCGCAGGAGGGCCATCCCGTCCTTCGTAGCCAGAACCTTGAAGTAGTTGTTGTCGGCGTTCACCGCCAGCAGATTGCCCAGCTTGTTGAAGCGCACGCGTGGGCTCAGCTGAAAGGGAATAGTGAGATTCGTTAGCTTGACCCAAATTGAAAAGCTAGTCCCCAGACTGTCAACACCCACGATGAACAAAATGTACTGCCAAGAGAATCTTGAGCTTGTTGAGGTCGCCAGCGGAGGCGCGGGCTCCGCTGCAAGTAGTAGTAATCCGTAGCCAGACGAACACTCGACGGAAGCAGGAGTACTGCGCAGGATTCCTTGAGCAGACTGATGTGTCCCGAGCACTTCATCCTTGGTTCACGGAGGATTGAAGCCGTCATTGCAAATGTCGACCAGATTTCATAAAACGACCACAATCACCAGACCTCGAAAAACCACGAATGGAAAACCGCGCACAGACACTCCAAAACAGAGTACATGGCCAACTGTTTGTCTGGCCAACTCACCGGGAGGCTCCCGTCTGCGTCGACCTGCGTGAGGATCTCGGTATTGTCCATGTCCCAGAACTTGATGTAGCCGTCGTCTCCGGCAGCCAAGAAGCGATTCTTGGTCGTGTCGAACTGGACCACCTGATGCACGCCGTGCATGCCGCTCGGGCCGCCACGCCTGCACGAGAAACGAAATTTCAGTTGGCGGTCACCTCTTAATATGAACGCGTTGATAGCAGTTGGAATGCAAGTCAGCGACTTAGGATAGAATGAGGTTCCGAAACTGGGCGTAACAATCGTGGGTCATCTTTCCATGCTGCTTAACCACAAACGAGCATAAATGGACATAGATTACTCAAATGCGGCAATGGCAGCATATGTAGGAATTTGAAGGGACTCGCGCTACCAATGCTGTTGCCAACTTTAATACCGGCCTCAAGCCGACCAAGTCTTGCACCCCAATCACAAATTCGATCTTGACAACTCTACCCCAGAGCAACGACAGAAGAAGGACGCCCCAAACCGGCCCACCTGAAGCCCTTGTACGCACGCCGAATTGCCCCCTCGCTCTCGTTCCACTCGACGAGACTCGTCTCGCCGTCCTTGCTGGTACCGCACGAGAAGAGCCGGTTGCCGTCCGCACTGTAAGCCATGGTCGTGCACCAATTGCCGGGCGCCACGTAGTCAACGCGCGAGCCCAAGTGGTCGTACAGCCACGCCTTAATGCGCCCGTCGATCGCCGTCGAGAAGATGAACTGCGCAAAGAGGAACAAGGTAGAATCAGGCTGCGGATTCGTTTCTGCCGGTTCTCTCCAGTAGTGGTCTGGTTGTCAGATGGTTCGATGAAAAGGTGCGAAATATCTGAACGTAAGCACTACCCTGGGTGCAATATGCGAAAGGAAGAATTCCAAGAAGACCAGAAAAGCTGCACGCCGGTGTGTGCTTGACCCCACTCGATTTGACAAAGCAGTCATGCGGACCTGCGCTAGACTACAAAACACTGAATCGCAAGGCCGACAAGGTTCCTTTATAAACGTGCTACTTATGTTATTCGTCCACCTGGCAATTCCATCCACAAAGACGAAGCTAGTGCCCAAAGTAACCTTCTCACAAGCTGTAAGGAACCAGGCCAACGCAGAGCTTTGAAAAAACCGGAAAGGATTGCTCCAATCTGTGAGAAGCCGGCCTGTGCGGAGCACGGAGGACGTCAGGGGTGAGCTCGCTGTTCTTCAATTTCTTTTTCGGATTGAAGTTCCTCGACAAGGACACTGCACGTCTGGTCCGAAACGTGAAGCTGTTCACCAGCCAATTGACAAACCCCCCGCGCCTACAGAATCGGGCCATCTTAGAGCACAAAACCTACGACGATGAAGTCCACGCACCTGGATGTTCTCCTTGTGGTGCGGGCACACGGAATAGACGGGCGCCTCGTGCCCCTCGAACGTGTACTGCTTGCGCCCGCTGCTGGCGTCCCAGATCTTGATCGTGTGGTCGTCCCCGCACGTGATCACGCACAACTGCTTCGGGCTCGCAAACGCGATGTCGTTCACACCGCCGTTGTGGGCGTCGATCTGTGGGGAGATCGAGAGTCAGGCGATCCGCAGGCTTAAAGAGAGTCGCAGGCAGTGGGGATGCAGTGAGCGAAGTGCCAATCATATAAAGTCACCAGTGGCGAAAGACGACTTCAGAGATTACTGGTATGGAGAGCGACATTCGCTTGCATAAGCAGGCTGGGGGACAATTCCACCAAGCCCTGAGGCGGCAGCTTATGACTCGGAAAGCTTGGCCTTAAAATCCAACTCGTCTGTGGCAGCTCCGATTCCCAGGATGAGAGAGGAACTCTGGCAGGAGATCAGCCTACTAAAGAAAGTACGGAGCTGTATCATAGAAGTAAGGAGAACGAGGTGCTTGGCACCACTGCGCCTAGAACAGAAACAGATCCTCAACTCGTGAACCTTGATCCTCTATCGTCCAACGTGGGGGAAGCAGCAGCTCCAGAGCCCGAAAACCGGAGAAACCCCCTATGACTCCCTGTTCGAGGACCAACATATCCAAGCTTTCGGTTTTGGGGATGAGCGCAGCACAACCGAGATGCGGATACACCCTAAAAATTCGCCCACCAAAACCTTCAATTTCGAACAAGAAACCCCTTCCCAACGTCCGTACCTCGAGGTGAAGCGCAACCTCCATGACGGTCGGGTTGTAGCTGAACACGTGGACGACCCGCTTCGAGAACGCGGCCCCGATGAGGCGCCCCTCGGGCGACCACACGGCGCGGTTGATGGCGATGCTGGTGTCGTGCACGATCTGCGACTTGAAGCGCATCTCCACCTTCTTCTCGCTCTGCCGCAGGTCCCACACCGCCACGTCACCCGTGTTGGTGCCCACTGCAAGGAACGGGGAGTCGTGATTAATTTATGAAACACCTTGCGAGCAGAAACGAATCGCCATCGCCATCACCATTCTTGGATGTCCGTCTTTGGGCAGTCCGCAAAATGGAAGCGCCTTTGAGAGCCAAAAAACGTGTATACTTTCACAGAACCTGCATCCAGTTACCAGAAACCAAGCCCCCTGTTACGGGGTGGCCCCAAATGCAGAAAGAAGGATGTTACGAAGACCGCAAATGTCTGTCGAGATAACGGGCCACGAAAGGACACAACCTGCAACAATACCTACCTAGCAGTGTGGAGTGCTGGAAGGGGTGGAAGTCCATCGTGGTGACGGTTGACCCCTGGTGCAGCGTACGGATGACGTTACGCGGCAGATCGTCCAGGTTGGGGGAGGGCAGAGTTGGCGTCGCGGCGGCGGTGGCCGTCTGCAAATAAAAAGTCCCCGGTTGGCACCAAAGGATCCTCAAAAGCTTGATAAGGAGAGCCAGTCAAACAATTCTTCTATGGCAACCGAGCGGAATCAGCAGGCGGCTGAAGACGAACTGGAATAGGCGTATGATTGAATCATTCTCTGACGATATACAAAGATGCTCGCGACGAGATTAGCCGTACATGGCCATGGCGCAAAGTAGAAAGGGAGCTTTCTGCCTATCTCCCTTGGTCTGTCTTGGAAGCTGATTACTTGATTACGCCAGCAACAGAAGTAAAAAACGTCGAGTAGGAACACCCCTGTGCACACGCTAAAACTGTAACACAAAACATAAATAGAAACGAGAAAGCACTTGAAGAGACGCGAGGAGGCTGTAAGGCTTCACCTCGTGGTAGTCCTTCAGCCGCTTGATGCCCTCTTCGTAGCTGTCGGGCAACCCGATGGGGCTCCGCGGCCGCTTGCCTGCACACAATATTACCTCCGTCATCCAGCATTCCAATCCCTTCATTCCTTGGCGAATGAGTAGCTCCGACCACTGATGAGGTCGGTAAGATGCGCTCTCAATCTCCTCTCGTGCGTCTTCGCCGAAAGAAGTCCGAAAGACTACGCCTTTCAAATGACTGCGCCTTTCAGGACGGGAGTTCATGGTCATCCACAAAACGATGCATGCACAAATACATCTGGTGACAACCTAAAGAAAGTCCATTACCCGAAAGACGAACAAGCAAGTTGAAGGCAATAGACGTGCCTAAAGTCGATGGCAAAGAGTGAAGACGACTTACTCGTGACTGGCGGCGCGGCCGCTGGCGGAATGGGTGTTGCTGCGTTTGGCCCCATCCAGCTGGCCAGACCTGCCGTGGGGCCTGCTACGCTTGCAGACGGCTGGAATGCCTGCAACTTCCGCAGATATGTTCAGCAACTCTTGTAGCAGCTTTTTCTACTGGTGTAACTTCGGCTAGAGGAGTTCAGCAACTGCTATAACATTGTTTCGGACCAGTGTCACGGAGTCTGACGGTTCCCCTTGTGTGAAAGTCCCCTTTGGAGCTTTCGAACGAAGTCAAAAAGGACAGCCCGGGATGAGCCGTTTATCCTCAAGAGAGAAGTCTCTGAGACCGAGTACCAGAGGCTTCCTCCGAAGAGCAAGAGCGCCTTCCTTTTAACGAGCCTCGCAGAACTCAAGCGAATAGACATGCTTCTTGTCCACAAAGCTCACACAAAAGCACCAAGAGATCCCCTCACCGCATGGCCTCCCAGCTGGAACGTTGTCCCCGCTTTTGGGCCCACTGCATTTGCATTCGCGCCCGACGCGAGGGGGACACGTGGCATGCCGTTAGTGGCCACCGGGCCACACGTGTGGTCCACAAACAGCGTCTTGATGTCGGGGTTTGGGCGCGGGTTCTTGCACAGCTGGTGCTGCCAGTTGAGACTGCGGACGAGGAACAGAGTTTACGAAACCTGGTTTGAGAAACCTCAAAGTGCATGATATAATCTACTTTGAGCGGGCGCATCGAACGCAAAGACTATGCCAAACAGTTCGATGGGCACCACAAATCTAATCTGCTCTCATTGAGAGTACACACAGATCACCAACTGCGTGTTCAACCAAAATCAAGGCATCGGCCAAGCTCACTTAATTCCCAAAGAGTCGCAAGTTTCCAGCCTTCACATAAAAGGATTAGTTAAAGTCACCCATGAGGCACGACCTTACCTCTGGTTGATGAGTGTCCGGAGGCGCGAGAGCTTCAGTGCCGGGAAGCTGAGCTTGTCGCGGAACAGCGGGTTGGCCTCGATAAGCTTGCGCAGCTCGAGGAGCATGATGTTGCGGGCGGACTTGGTGTCTCCGTACTTGGACAGCTGCTCGTTGTCTCTGTGACACGAGAGGGAAAACCTCATCAGGGGGAACCGAATTTGAGGGCACCTTCTGAGGATAACAAGCAGGGGCAAACAGCCGGGGGGGAGGTGAGGCGGGGGAGGTTCAGGGGGGGAATCTCAGGAGGAGACGTCAGGGGCAGGGTCAGAGGATCAACAATTGAGCTAAGCAAGGAAGAACGTTGTCGTCTACACAGCAGTGTCAGAAACAGGTGTTGTGAACAATTTGGAAAGATTTGAATCTTGACATCCTGAACAATTTGAGGGAATTCTATGAATTGCAGAACAGCATCTCCTTCCTGGGCTGCGCTTCTCTGTTCAAAGGCACGGGTCACATCAAACCCTCTGTATAGAACTCTCAATGCCCAGCTAAGAAGGGCAAAAACTCGACCAGCATTCAGAGCACAATCTATGCGATAAACGTGGGTCAACTTGTCAATTTTGTGCTTGCCCTTCTTCAACAGCAAGCAGGAGAGCCATTCCTTGGTAAATGCCGCATTGCCCAATGATGTGCATACTACGACAACGGGATAACTAGATAACTGAATAACCAGTATAAGTAGATGACCAGATAACTAGCAAATCAGTCAACTATATAAGAAATTATGTAGATAATCAGAATACTGGCAACTAGATAACTGGATGCTGGATAACCTGTACCGTGCCCAAACTCAGGAACGCCCCTTGGCTCATGGGCACTCGAATAGAAGCTCAAGAAGGTTTGCCTCTTAACCCACATTATTCAACAGATTGTCAACCCGGTTTCAGTCACAGCAATCTGATAAATTGGCAACCAACTGAACCCGCTAACCAGGTTAAACAGAGACTTCTAGGACGGGACCCAAGCCTTACCTGAAATTGTCCAATGTGAGGAGGCTGGTAATCTCCTTGTAGAGCTCATCGTTGAAAGAGGCAAACACCTTAAGGTCCTTCACCAGGATCTCGACGGCCTTGGCACGGTCTTGCCTGCATAACCGCCCGGGTTACGAAAGTTGGTTAGCACTTGGTTAACAGCTTAGCGGGACCAAGCGTTTGTCTTCCGGCTGTCAGACAATTTGACCAACAATCAAGCTTAATGGTGAATGAAGCTTGAAAAGGTGGGGGCAAAATAGCGACTCCCCCAGCAATTACTGCGTTGGCCTCCAAAAGTGACTGCTCTTAACTTCGTGAACTGACAGGGAATGCCAATGGAATATCCTGGTTGCGATACTTTGAGCGCTGCCTCTTGGGCGCCCATCATGCATCCAGCTGTCACCAATCATTTGGTCCACACTTTCTGACATTACACAGCCACCTCAATTGTAAAAGCACTGTGGTGCCACAAAATGATATGGCCAAACCATAACTTGGGTGTTTTACCGTGCACAAATTGGGTCTCACCTGTCAAGTGCCTCAAGGTACTTCTGCTTCCGGATCTCAAAAAAGATCTTCATGGAGTAGCGGTTGTCGTCGACCTTGGTGAAGCCCGAGAGGTACCGCTCGACATCATCCCATTCGCCCGCCACGACTGCCTCCTCGAAATAGCGCATGTTGAAGTAGAAGCCAGACTCCTGCTCCAACCTGCAAACCAGCATAAGGGGCATAATGAATAAATGTGAAACAGGCTGATGCATTGGCGCTAGAGTTCAATGTCAAATGAAGCTTACACGTCTCACGACGAAAAGCAGTCAATCAGGGTCAGAAGTGCCCTGAGTCAAACTAAGGAAATGCTGTTGACTGCTTGCGAGGTGACGAGATGTGGGCAGCAGACTTGTTGCACCCCTGTTCCAGCTCAGTATGGGACTTCCTCAAGAAGACGAGACATGGTGTCAAGGGACCAATTACTGTACTTGCTGGGCTCTCCAAGGTGAGAGAAGCAGATGACTCCTGTCAGCATGTCTATGTTAAAGGGCCATTCTAATAAAACATTCCACATAACGAATGCAAGTCTAAGCCCACAATCCACCACAAGATGCTTCTTGCAGCCAATGGGGTATTGTCCAATGCAGTGACCGAACCTTGTCGACATGGGCACTCCCCATAAGCTATCCCCAGTAACTCATGCTGCCACGAGATTCTGCGTTGCCGACAGAGGCCTGCCCCTCCCCAGCTAAAACGAGCTAGCACAAAAGACCTACTATGATTCAGGTAAACCTCAGGTAAAACCGACGTAACTCTTAAAGTAATGGAGCAAGGTCCCTCACAGGTTCATCAATGTTTTTCCTGCCGAATCCGAGGCTCTGTGGTAAATACAAGCTGCCCTTCTGACCATTCAATTGCTGACTCTCACTGCGGGTAAAAGCTCAGAACTAAGCAACGTGGGCTGAACAGATACATGCAACAATTCGAACCCAGACTTCGAACGTCCCGCCAATGCTGACTTAGGCAGGACGGCAAGTGGACTTCGAGTCCCCTCGTGTGTGGAAGCGACACCACTCAACCCCTTAAGGAACGATGCGGCTTGAGCCTTAGTGAATCTTATCCCAAGGCTGACTACTTTAGATGGTCAGCACCTCGAATTGTCGGTAGGCACAACGATGAGTGCAGGCCCATAAGCGCGTTGTGCCCTCATACACAACGAAGCTTCAAGTGTGTGGATAGGTAAGCTGCCCATGCTGAGAGAAGTGCCACACGGCACCATGTATATTACGATGCATGTAAAGTAAGCCGTGCAATGGGCAGGGGACGAAAGACCAACCCGGCCAGTTCCTTTTGCCTCGTAGGGCAAGCGGGCTTTCAATCAAGAAGCAAGAAACGATGGAATTGCTCGCAATTCGCAGCACAAGCAGTGCAACAAAGCGAGCTTCGTAACCAAAAGCCCAAGCACCTGTACCTTTCTTGCACTTTGGATCATCTGCTTTTGGCAGACTGATTGACCTGACTGGCATGTAGAAGCCCCACCTTCAAAGCCACCTTAGTCAGAGCTCATTTCGCCCCGTGAGAAACGACAACCGGCGGAGCCTGTTCAAAGGCAAATCTTCTTCAGGAACGCGACGAGAGGATGGAGATAACAAAAGACGCTGATTAGATTAGAGCATGAGCGTTCAAGAGCATAGGGAACAAGCTGCTCGTAAAGCCACACTTACTTGTGCACTGTCTCCTTAAACTTCTCCTCGTCCAGGAATTGCAGGATGAGGAACACGAGCTCCCTGCTCAGTGACGACATGGCGATGTGTGACCTTCTTCTGATCCTCGAAACGGCCGAATTTCCCCCTCGTCTGCAGATGCGCGTCTCTTTCGTCTCTTTCACTGCCCCAACTTCAAGCCAGCATCGCCCTCGCCAGAAGCAGCTTGCAAGCAGAAGCAAATTCAAGGAGGGGACGCCATGGCTTCTCGCAAAGTTGAAAGTTCACAGCTTCATCCTGTCCCAAAATTCTGCAGCCTGTAGGCTGTACTGTGTACCGTGCTACGTAGACCAGGACTGGATCCACTAGAGCTGCGCGGCGCGCCTCTGACCTCATCGTTGACAAAATTGGTGCGAAGAGATAGTTATTTCAGCCCATCATTATGGCCTGCGACGATGACCGTTGGCCGCATTTAGGAGTTGGAATTTGGAGCCTGCCCGGTACGTACTACGTAGACGGTAAAACCCGTAAAACGGTCAAATCAGAGGTAGCAGCCGGGAGGAAGGGTCCGGATGGGTCCGGAAAGGAGATCAATTACAACCGGTAAAAATCGACTTTCCAGATCGAGTCGCTCTGAAGATTCTGCCCAGTGCCGGCCATGGATTGCCCAGCCGGGAGTTGTAATTCGCACGGGGGTCGACGAACTCGGGACTCGGGAGTCGGGATTCAAATTATTGGTCCGTCTTTTTATATGAGTATCTGCGGTACGTACTGTTCACCATACCGTCGCGGCTGCTAAAGCGTACGGATCGTGTCAGACGACCGGTCGAAGTGACAGTTGGGCTGCCCGTCGGATGGCAGAGGTCACGATCCAAATTGACACATCAGCTCCCTCCTCGTAGGAAACTCACCCAAGGAGAGTAAGTGTGTCAAATTCTGTCGCCAAGTCAAAGTCCATGGCCGCTCGGCGCTGACGTACGGCACCCAGCTTACATAAACAGTAAACTGCGTCACCACCGGGGCCGCGAGCCGCGCCTTGCTCGATTCCCCGGGGCTTGGGACCCGAGGAATAAAGCATTAGAATCAAAATATATTACGTCAATAGTATCAATGCGTATGAGAATATACTTTAGCGGGACGGGTCGGGTTAGATAGGGGAATCCAAGGGTCCTGTACTATCCTCGACCGGGTCAAGTCTTAACTTTTAGTGTTTTTCTTGAGATATGGTATTTTTGCAGTGTTTGTCAATATTAAATCCTGGCCAACATGCGATTCCGTTCTCTCGAGGAAAGAGGACGCGAATTGCGATCATCATTGACGGCCCAGGCCCGGGCCCCCGGGGGCGCTCTGGATGTGATCACTTACGAAACAGACACGTGTCCAATCTTTGTTTCTAGATTCTGTGCCTGGTGACGTATGATGTAGCGTGCAACGCTGCAACCGGCGCAGGGTCAAGTCGAAACTTCCCTCACCCAGGCGGGGATGGTGATAGGCAAGCCCGGTCGACTCTTTGCTGGCAGTGTGCAATTTGATTCGGCCCTCGGGGCTCTAGTCACCGGGCTGGAACTGGGTCGGGTTAAAGTTCCGGCAAGGCCGGGCTGACGTCGTTTTCTGGACAGGCAAGCGAAGCGTTGGAAACTTGGACTGTCTTGAACAAGAATATGCCTTGTCACTGACAAGATGATAAGAGCTGAAAAAGAGAGCTTATCATCCTGGTTCGGACATCGCACGCGCCACGGCCCACGATCCGGTCGTTTAGATACGAATCCGATCTCAAATTGGCTCCAACTTCCGAGTTTAGAACTCTCCACCTGCCAATATGTCTGACAGTCTGACTTACAACCATAAGACACACGTGGCACTTTGTACTTCGAGCTTTTTCTAGTGCGAAAATCCAAACCTTTAAACCCTAAAACCCAGAATTGTGGTGGTAATTTGCCAGCGCGGCCTCGAGAGAAACATGTAAGGCCACGCGAAGTCGATATATGGAGTTTCCGGTCCGCGACCGACTCGGATTTTAGATTTTTTTTAAAAATCGACATATGATATTTTTATTTTGGCCCCCAAAACCCGACTCTGATTCTGGATATCTGTACGATATCTTGATGATACATTCCTAGATTTTGTCATTGAAACCTCCAAATATAAAAGCTTGGAAGGTTGGAAGCAGGTGAGAAAATTGGACACATCCTGTAAAACCTGTGTACGTATGTCGGATGCTCCGGAATCAGCCAGATCTGTTTCCTCGAGCTGATATTTGTGTACGAGCGGGCAAAATTGTCACGATCTCATGTTCGTATTCATTGTGTTCATAGTTTTAACAAATTTCGACTTGGCCCAGTGCCCGGCGTAGAAGTTGACTCCGTTCGATCGGCGCCATGTGCCATCATCAAACGAATCAAGTTTGGGCCGAGCTTGGCCGGTAAGGCAGGGCGGTCCAATGATGCTGAGCAGCTGGACTGGGAGTCCGATCAGGACTCACAGACTCGGATTTCAATCTGCACAGAAGGGTCAGCCCTGTCATTGTCAAGTGCCGTCCTTTGATCTTCGAAGTTTGATACCTTTCTTTGGAGGAGGAAGGCCATGAGCAAACTTTTACCCCACTGTAGTGCTGCTGTGGTTGAGAACTGAATATCTTGTCGCGGGTTACCAAAAGCTGGAACAATAATGATGGAAGCAAGCAAAGCAGGGGTTTCCGAAGTTGGGGGTGGAAGGGGCGCTCTGGAAGCAGGTACTGTAACAGGCATTGTTGTTGCTGCCAGGCAGAAGGAGAATGTGGAGATGAAGCTAAGCGCACGCCAAAAGAAGGAATTTCACGAGCTTGTTAGAGAGCTTTTTAGAGTGACAGACAATGTGACCGGTGCTGTGTTTAGTAAATCGCAGCAACCGCAGAGCATTCAGGACAGTATTTTGAGAGGGCTTAAAGGTTTGGCTCGAAAGTGGAGCTACCCACTTCCAGACCTTTCTACTCGGGCCACCGAGTATGCAAATAGGTTGCACAACGACCACGGGATAGTCAATGCGGAAGGGGTCGCTCAGGCACCTGATGCAAAACAGCTCCTGCGGGCCACCGTCACTGGCACAGAAATGGGCACTCTCGTTGATTCCACTGATGTTGTGCTGAAGCCGCTGCCCAAGCGCCCTGGCTTCTTCCGCCGAGAGCTGCAACCTGACTCGGAGCGCTGGTGAGTCGTGTTCAATATGAGGGATCCCTCTTATTGAGTCCACAACTGAGGCCAGCTATCACCCATTTAGGTGGTTTCTTTGCGCTCTTGCTTCTCCTGCAGCTTATCGCGCACAATCGTTGCACGGCAGATGACAGCGTCTCCAGATTCCGGGAGTTCAACACCCGTGCAACAGCCTGTTGCCTGCGCTTGCTTGTGTTGATGCAGTTGTGCTCAAGGCGAATCGCTAGCTGTTGCATGCAAACTATCATTCCTCCTACATTGCTGTGATAGAGGCATGCATATATTCAGGATTTCCACTGGTCGTTGATCAGACACAAATGTTTGAGTCATGCTTTCTGCCTTTGCGCCTGTTCACACCTTGGATTCAGAAGTCCTTTGCTAGTATCTGCTCTAACTTGAGGATTCATCTGCTGCCTGTCCCGCTCTTTTACAGGCGTGCCAAGGTGCTGAACCTGATTGCGAGGATCCAGAGTGTTGCCTCAGTGGAAGAGGTTGAGCACTTCCTTTTCAAGATCAACCTTTCCTTCTTGGAGTACTCCAGCGATTTCAGCAGACAAGAACAGGGAGCTGAGGAGTCCCTTGTGGTGACGATGGCCAAGGACTATCGAAGCATAGTCAAAATCCAGGTATTAACATGACTGTCCCTGCCACATTTGGAAACAACCTATACCTTCTGAACATTGTGGTCGTACCCTTTTTGCACCACTCAATGATGGAATTTGCATATGCATTTGTTGCTGATTCTCTTGCTGGTGATCTTCTACATGCCAAAAAAGATCTATGGCTACCTGATGCATGCGGTACTAGTAGATTTTGGTTGAGCTTCGCTCTGTCGCTCTTTATGCAGTTTCCGGACCCCGCCTTAAGTGACATTCAGGAGAGTTTTTTGGGCATAGTAGGGACGCTCAACTTCCAGGAGATTGTCACTCGTTTTATGTTGGAGGACGTTGCGCTGAGTTACCGCCATGCATTTGTCAGCCACGCACTAGCATATGTTCCAACGGAGCTAGTCGGCGAAGGATATTCCGAGAAAGCAATGAGGTGAGCTGGCACCAGATAGTGCGGGCCGCTTGTATCCTTGGGCAGGAAGTGATTAGTAGTGCATTCTTGCATCTGGTGTTGACTAAGTCCTCTTTCTCTGGTTCCATTGCATCGTCATCCCCCTCCTGCAAAATCGCTTTTCCTGCATCATCAGCTCCGTTCCACTTGAGAGATCTCAATTGCTATGCAGGGCGGCAAGAGAGTTTCCCTCAGCCAGACACTATGTCGTTCTTCTGAGCAACCAGCGCTGGAAGCTATGCTTCGATTTTCCTCCCCGCTGGCCATTGAGTGTGGGACAGTTAAGAGCCGTCCTCATTGATGCCAGTTCTCAGCAACGTGTTCACAACTCCCTGTTTGAGAAGCTTCATGTGAGTACTTGGACAACCTGTGATCGGAACGCATCTGCCTTGCTGTTGTTGCACTGTTAAGGATGTTTTGACCTTCACAGTTGTCTTTGCTGCTGCCTAGGGGCCAGCCTATCTAATGGATGTTTGGGTGCAGGAGGCTTTTTTTAAGGACTCCGTGACGACAAGCCAGACGCTTGGGAAGTTTCACCTTGGTTGCGAGAATCTGGTTCGAGCACACGGGGTTGGCAGCGTCTCCTCCATGGCTCAGACTGGTAAGCCCTGTACGTCAAAGCGAAAGACCAAATGGAGAAAGTCTGCACGCTTCTGCCAGGCCACTTTTGTAATGAAATCCTGAAGCACGCGGGTCACTAATCCGTTAACGTAGATCTATGAGGGCCTCAATGCTCTTCACCCAAAACAAAGAGATTTTTCTTGTCAAGCAAAGCTCTGTTGAAGATGGGCACGCGCCTGTCAGTGCTTGATTCGCAGTGCCAAGCAGATTCAGTGTTGCTTGACCATGGTAATATTAGAAGCGGTATTGTTCAGATTAGCTTTTTGAATCAGTACTACTGTCATCTATTCCGAAACGTTATCCTTTACTTTGAAAAGGGTTGCCATCTTCAGATGCAATGTAGGCTTTAAGTAGTCCTGTGCTCATCACCGATCGTGCGCTGCAGATCATGACATCAGCGGTGCTGAACTGATGCCCCTCGAGGGCATCGCTGAGGATCCCTTGCGAGCAACGTCCCTTCGGCCAGGCCCAGCATCTGGAGGCATGCCAACCACGCCCTCCAACACCAGTGTTCGGGACACCAAGCTTTCCACGGGAGCAGGTACTGAATATGTGGGCCAATGCTTTGCTTTCTCAAGAAATTCGGGTCCAGATTCAATTCTTGTGCGACGTTGGTTACACAATGTAACGTGACCAGTCAAACGCAGCTTGGTCATACCCTCTCGACTGTTGCGCGCTTTCTAGGCACTTGGAAGACAACGTTCTGCTCTAGTCAAGAGTTGTGCTTTTTGCCCTCGACCACCGATTGTTCCGCCCCTGTACGTTGTTCATGTCTGTTTGGATTCCGATCTCAGGTTTGAGCTTTAGTATGCTTCTATTGCAGCTTTCGATCAGTGTTCTGCGCAAGAAGCGGATGCGGACGAGCAACACACGCCCGCCCCTTGCCCCGAATCCTTGTCCAATCAGCGGAGAAGTCTTCGAAAGGCAAGCATTCGTACACTCAATTCGATCTTATTGTGCCGGTCAGCTTTGTCTATGACTGGGAGGAGTGTTTCTCAATCTCGCAATCCCCGCCAATCACTTCGCTTGCGGATTCTCGGCCGTACAGAATTTCCAAGTACAACGGATGAAAGAACGTGAGGGTGCCCAGTTGTCCAAGTCTTTGTGGGTACCATAGCCGGTGCTAAAAAGTGTGCTAGGTTGTCTTCCTGAATAGGTCGTCTACATCATTATGGCATGTCCTCCAGCTAAGATGCTCCAGTGTGCCCGCAGAGATCAGGGCATTTTGAGCAGCGGCTCAATAAGAAGGCCAAGTCTGAGGTGAAGCCGATGGTGGTTCCAAGTGACGACGAAGGTTGCAGTCATGCCACAGGTATCAACGATCGATTCCACAAACCGTTACATCAGTCTGTTTGTGTCTGTGGCAGCTTTCACTCGTATTTTACAAGTCGTTCGAATTATGCGTGAAAGGCCTCTCTGTCTTCCCGTTTGTGTTTGTTCGTTGCCTCGGTTTGTCATACGATCTGCGGGCGATTGACTGCTACCTATGCAAACGTCGTTATTCAACTCTGCTCAGACAATCAGTCGATGCTGGATGAAGATCCTGCTTCTTGATAGATGTCTTCTTGTTTCAACCTAGATCATGGAACCATCATATTTCCAAGGGACGGGGATCGGAGGGTCCTTGGAAGTGACCCGAGCCGACCTGGACTGCCTGCGCAACCAGCTGGAGCTCAACAACGCCGTCGTCGACTTCTTCGGCAGGTAATATAGTCTTTTCTTATCCAACTATTTCAAAGGAGATTCTCCCGTGTACAGATTGCTGCTTGCAGCACTGGAATAGGCATCGAGTATTGTTGCCTTGTTCAAAAACGCGCATGTTACTGTCGCAACGATCATTTGCAACCTTTGAGTGCGTCCAGAAAAAAGCCTTTGCACAGCCTTGACTCTGTGTTGGTCTCTTGACAACGTCAACGTCTTCTCAACCAGGTACTTCGAAGATCAACTAACAAGGGGGCGGAATAAGCCGCTGGTTATGAACATCTTCTTTCTACAGAGGGTGTCCAAGAGCTTCCGTGCCGGGCGCCGCCCTTCTTCTAGGGAGTTGCGAACTCTGCTCGCTTTCCCTGGAGCGAGTGATTTGTTGCAAAGACCTGTCACGTTGATCCCCGTGGTTGTCACGTGAGGCCTCAAATTCCTAACGCCCCATGTTTCAGAAGTGGCAGGATCTGCTGATGAGACGTCGTCTTCGTCAGCTACGACGCTAATCGAAGGTCTTGCAAGCTGAAAGAGAGCGTCTAAACGATCCTGTACGCTCCGGGCCTCCTCGATCAACATTCCGTCGAAGTTCTTTGTACAATGCTTTCTTTGTTCGTCTCGTTTTTGAGCAAGCTTGTTTTGCCATGCAGAGGACATTGTTCCTTGTTCGTTGTGTTTGATCGGGCAAAAGTGGAAAGGGCACCGGAATGCCGGCGCTGCATACTGCATCTTGATTCTCTACGTCCGCAGGGCTTGCACAATTCGCTCGGCATGCCCCTCCAAAGGTACAGGCACTTGACCTGAAATTGGGCACCAAGTACTTGCTTTGAAACTAAACTTGTACTTCTGCGTTCCTTGTCTTGAAGTGAACTGGCTTTCATCTCAATTTGAAGCAAGCTCGTTTCTGACCCAAGTTGGTCGTGCTGATGTCTAAGTCAGTCGTACTAACATCAGCAAGTGTTCCATACGTTGAACAGGTTTCTTGCCGCGATGGCTTTTGGAGCAGCCAGCAGCACAACGAATATCATTTGGGAGGCGTTCCCCATTCAGACGGGATATGTAAGGGTCTTCCTCAGCTGTTCAGGTGTTCAAATAGTTTCTACTTTCTCGAAGTGTGTCTCTATCCGATTCTATGCGCTCATGTTGCTGAAAGTCTGAGACTCTCTGTGTTTGACTTTTTACAAACGACTCCAGTTGAATCTACTTAAATGCTCCAACATGTTCAAGTATTCTCAAGCGAAAGGCAAAAATCATGGGTAAGAGCAGACGGAGCGTTTCACGATCAATTGCAGGTCCCACAGCAGCCGAACTCGATAGACTGTGGGCTATGCACGCTTCTAAACGTGGCCCGCCTCTTCTCCGACCCAAAGAGAACCTTGAAAAGGGTAAGTGCTCGCTACTTGAATCTGCTAGTACTCCTTCATTGGTTGCTCTTCAAGTTTCAAGGTTGGTAAGCCGGCTCTCTCGTGCTGAATTCTGGAGATCCTTTGCACCCGTGAGACCCTAGAAAGCACCCAAAAAAGGCTGGTGGATGAGTATATAGATCCTCGTGATTGACAGTACTCTGCACTCTGCTTTTGCAGCTGCTTGATGAAGACATGGAAGACTGGTATGACGTGGGAGCAGTGGCTGCTTTTCGTCAAGAACTTTTATTTATTGCGAGCAGCGTGCGGGAGTCGTAGACGTGTGTAAGTTATTAGGGGTACCTAGCTTTACAATTGCATAAGGTCGCTCTAGGGCCAAGGACTATGTCGCATATGTCCATCGATTCAAATGACTCGTTGATTTGATCAAGTCGCTCGATGATCGCTTCGTGTGGTGAAGATGTTGCCATGGTAAGAAATGTCATGCAACGAATGCGCACAATTTGCTTTGTGGATTCCACAAAGGTCAGTATTTGCCAAATCATGAGTGCTCATGCTTGGCTTTTACTCTACTACCAGCTCGCTATCCAAAGTACGCCCTAGTGTAACGATTACGACTGGTTAAGCCTAACCTCGTTCTCGACAGGATTTCGTTGACCGCGAGTTAGCGAAACGGCGGTGGTTACGTCTTAACGACGCACTGCGTGGCTGTCTGCAAGACGGCGTAATATCCCGGATGGATCGGCTTCAGTGAGCCGATGTCACCGTTCAGGATAAGTTGTGTTCGGCTTCGCCGTTCGAT